TACCATTCTCACTGGGGTGAGGTGGTATCTCATTGTGGTTTTAATTTGCATCTCCCTTATTACGAGTGATGTTGAACATTTTTTCATATGCCTGCATAATAAATAAATCTTTAAAAAAACAACAGAGCTTGGTGAAGAAGATAAATACCTACTAGATTTCTTCTTTTCTCTTTTCTGTCTTTTTTCAGATGAGCTCACTTCCACTTAATAATTTCTCCCTGTGTTTTTCTAGTTCTGACAGTTCTCATTCATTTTATCCTCCAAATTCAGCCAATGCTTTGGATCCTTTCTTTTTCTTTTCTGGTGATTCTTTCACTCCAGGTAGGTCTTCTTGGTCGATTCAGTTAACTTGGATTGTTGGCCCTAAAGGCTGGATTGGACACCTTGATCTGGCCGTGCAATTGGGTTTATACGACCTCGGACTGTCCCATTTCCCCCTGGAGCTGTACTGAGTGCAGTCACAGCCTGAGGTAGAGCAGCAAGGCCTCCTGAGGGTCCTCGAGACACCCTCTTGAGTTCTTATTTCCTGTGACAGCCCAAATCTCTGAGTTTTCACACATTCCTAGAATTCCCATTTCCTGCTTTCTCCCTTTGCTTAACATGAACCTCACCACCGCTGGCATTCAGTAACACAGCATTCTGCTGCCACAGCCCCTTAAAGCATTTCCGACACTTAATTATTTCTACTTTAGTCCGTCCGCTAAGACTGTACTTTCCAAGGGAAAAATGAGTCCAGCATAATACGTGTGCCAACTTAAAAAACACTGCGGAGTGAGTGGAGTGAACGGTGCGGGTGACGGTAATCCTGCCCTCCAGGGGACAATCACATGCGACAGGTGAGCGCAACACCCTTTCTTGTCTACTCAAACCGGGAATAAAAATCTAGCTCAAACCCTAGCCTGTGCGAGGGCAGTTAGGTTCGCCAAGTTGGGGAAAGCGCGCCCGTGCAGATGCCTAGCCACCGCCCAGGAAAGTAGCGGCGGGGGTGGGGTCGCGCAGCCGCCCCGGCCCCCACCCGGCCGCCCGGGCAGAATCACTCACGTCTCTGGCGCTGGGTACAGGTGAGGCCCGGGACGAGCAGGGACGAGCAGCCTCGACAGAGGGTTCTTTTCACCGAGGGGTCCCTGGGGAGGAGAGGGAAGGCGGTCCGGCGCCCAAGCTCCCGCCCGCGTTCCTCCCCGCCCGCCCCAGGCCCGGCGCCCGCCTCACCGCCGCAGGACGAGCCGCTTCGCGATGGTCCTCTCCGTGTGGCAGTAAAACCTCGCCAGAGCCTGGTTTTCGGGGTCTTGGGCAAGGACGCAGTGGGCAGCCTGGCGTACAGAGGGCGGTCAGTCTCGGTCGGCCAGAGAGCGCCCCTCCGCAACCGCGACGCGCACTCACCTGGTACAGGAAGCTGAGCCTCTGGAAGGCTTCCCGGTCCTTCACCGGCCCCGCCATGCGCACCGCGCCGCGCGAGCACCCCTCCCGCAGACCACGCCCCCGCGCCACGCGGAGCCTTTCGGGAAGTGTAGTTCCTGGGCCTCAGAGGCGTCTGACGCTCGTACTCTGGCGCCACCCCAGGGCAGAGGTCTTTTATTATGAGTTTTGGCTCTCTCTCGTCTTGAAGCCCAAGTATAGTTTATACTAGAGAATGGAGCAGCTAATGAAGCAGGAGAGGTAAGTATTTTCTAGACACAAGACTGCTGTTGTAGAATGGTTTTGTGTAATTTATTATCCAGCTAGATCTCCCACCCTGTTCTCCAGAAGCCATGGGTGAATGCCTGAAAGATCTACAGACAGAAGGAAGAGAGATTGTGCACTATAAAAAGTACTGGGATCAGGAATCAGAAAGCACGACTTATTTCCACTTATCAAACAAACGCATTTGTTTTGCAGTGCTTGACACAGTAGTGATTTTCACTGATTCTTGATCTCAGGTTCCAGAGCACTGAAACCTCTTCTGCCCCTGAAACAATCATACCCCACTCCCTTCCTCTGATCCATCTGCCAGTGCTCCCTTTGGCATCTTGTGTTTACCTCTGCTCCCTAGTCAGTGACCACGTTTCGGAGGACAGGAGTAGAGGGATGTGAACTGGAGCAGCAGAACATGCATGAATCCTGAGCCTGGGAGAAGAGGGCAGTGTGTCAGAAGAGGATGAGGCCTGGCCCTGTCCTCAAACCCAGCACGCTGGGCAGAGAGGAACAGGCCTTCCACCAGGAGCAAGTTGTTGGGACCTCCTCTGGGATGGGTTTTACAATGGTAGCTTTAAAATGTAGATGTTCACACCCCAGACCGATCAGTAACTGAGGTTGAATACCCAAAATACACATTTTTAATACCCAGTGATCTTTATACATCACCAAGGCCGTCATCATATTACCACACAACAGAGATCACTTCAGCGGATCCTTTGTTCCATATTATGTTTACCAACCACCAGCATCTTGCCACAAAGAACCACAGTCAAGGCACAAAGGTTAAGAGGAGAGTCTGGACAAAGTCCTGTTGAGGTGGCAGGAGGAACTGAAATGTCCTCAATACAATGCAGTTTCTTATCCCAATCTTTTGTGGACCTGATTACCCAACTGGCAGATAGACCAGTCATTCTGATTTGGTTTGGCATGCACTGTTTTACCTTTTTTGACAACATATGTACCCTACAGGTTATTTTGGCCTAATGTTAAAATGCTTTATATTCTCTGATAGGGAAATGGCAGAAGGTGAAGTGTGGCAACAAACAAGGGAGTGGCTCTGGCTAGTTCCAGGCCAGGTGCCCTCAGGCAAAAGGAACTGTTTCTCTCGCCCCCTTCCCTACATACACTCCCTCTTCTCCCCTGTTCTGAGGATGAGGAAGACTGTTTCCTTTCTCCCTTTCTGGCTTAGACACCTTGGCTAGGTACCAAGGCTGACAACTTGGGAGTAGCATCTTAGTTACATTCTTTAAGGCCAGGGCTTTGGATAGAAATTTTTCCTTTCCTCTAACACCTGACTCTTTCCCAGTTCCTTTAGGAAGCTGTGAAGGGAAGACCTTTCTTGCAGGATCTCTAGTATCTTGCTGCTGGAGACTACAAGGTGACTTACTCCTTGGAGAGTATCAAGTCCAAAGGCCCAGGTAATAGCCAGCTCTGCTGAAGGCTGAGGGCCTGGGTTCTCCTCTTCTTTCTTTCTGCCTCTCCTCCCCATTCCTACCTCTGGCCAGTCCTACTCATAATGGCAACCAAAGAAATACTTTTCTCCTGTAGTCTCTGGGAATCTGTTCCTCTAGCTCCCTTCCTTGACCTCTTTCTTGATGCCCATCTCTGCCCTCAGGAAAACCCCTCAACTGCTAGACCCGTAAGAGCAACTGTCATTCATTTTTATTCCATCTAGAGGTTCAAGACCCCTTTAATCTCCCTCAAAAAACAAGACTATTCTGGGTCAAAGAACGCCCTGACAGGCTATCCAGGGGTTTCTGTTTCCTGCTCCAGTTTGAGGAATTGAGACCCTCACACAGACTTTTTGTTTCTGGAAAAGCTCTTCTTCCTTTCCAACCCATCCTTGTGCGATAGGAAACCTGATGGACATCAGAGGAGACCACCCCCTGGGAACTAGCTCCCCGCCCAGACAGGAGATACAGCCATGAGGTCCTGCCTTGTCCTCCACACAAACCGTTCTAGAAACCAAGGTGCTTCTTCCAGACGGTTCAGGACTGGGACCACGCAGACACGAAGCCGGTCCAGCAAGTCACAGGAAGGAAGGCCCATAGCTTCTGACCCTGCCTCACCCTGATTATTCCCAGGCCCCTCCTTGTCATTCCCAATCTGTTGGGGGCCTGATGGTAAGTGGCGCAGCATTCTTCCGACCGGCTCGGATGCCTGGGTAGAACAGGGGCCAAAGTTTCTCAGTAAAAGTGTCAGTGAAGGTATAGATATGAGAGCGGTCTGTGACGTTGTAAAAGGACAGCGTGCCAGCCTCATAGTCTAGGAATATGCCCACCCGCTTGGGTTTCACCTTGATGTGCAATGGGGTGAAGGGTGTGGTGGTGGCTGCATATTTGTCCCCATTCCAGAGCCGCACCCGCCAGTAGCCAGTCTCAGGTAGTGGCGTCAGCTCGCCCTTCCGGCTCACGGAGTCCCGGCACACGCCCACTGCCCAGTGGGTCTTGTCGCCCACCTCCACCTCCCAGTAATGTCGACCTGAGGTGAAGCCCTCAGTAGCCAGGACGCAAGGGTAGAAGGTGAAGCGCCGTGGCGTGTCAGGAAGATCCCGGAGTCTTGTCTCCACGAACTTGACGCTCTTCCGATCTTCTGACAGGACTAGGTTAGGATGGGCAGTCTCGGGGTCCAGGGTCACATCCGCTGGCGGGAGAAGCCAGAGTGGGGAGCTAGATGAGGATGGGAATAGCTAAACGCCCTGCCTCTCTTCCGGCCTGCCTTTACAGAACCCACTGCCTTAGGTCCCCGGAACACTGTGGTTTGGTTAACTTTCCCCATCCATGATGTCACTATAGGGAGGGGAGGGCACGACAGTTTCACTTCTGTCCCTGGTCCTGACATAAGCAGGTAATGATCACTTCACCATGCAAGGCTGGCTGTTTAGACTGCTGCCTGGTTGGCTCTCAGGCATCATTTATCTCACTGTGCGGAGGAGACAGGGCACAGTCCAAGGACCAGAAAGAATGGAAAAAGTTAAGGACACAGAGCAGGACAGCAATATGGCCGAGGGGCAGGGTGACGATATGTCTGCTCTCCTGGGACAGTCCTGGTTTAGGATTTTCCCCTAGAGAATATTAGTAGCACTCCCTTTCACGCTGAAGAAATAATAGACAAATTATTTAACCTCTCTGGGTCCCTATTTAGAAAGTGCGGGCTGAGGTAGACGCACCTAAGGCTTCCTGCTTTGAGTTCTGTGAATCAGAGTGTGACTGGAAGCCAGGTACAGGGGTGAGTGTGGGGTGGACACGAGAAGTTACAGCTGCGCTGAGGCAAAGCCAGACAATGCGGACCTAATGGCTGCCCTGTCAACCCCGCTGCCAGATTTCTTTGGAGCAACTCACCAATTAGCTGTTTTAGGATCTTCCTTAGGGCAAAGTACTGTCGAGGGAAATTGCTGAAGTTCTTTTCCAGCTCTATGGATACCGAAGCCACCTCCATGGTCTTCACCTTCTCACATCTAGAAGGGTGGGGAGAGAGGGGAAAGTGGGGTAGGGTCAGGGGAAACTCCAGTGAAGTGAGTAATCAGGGAGAAACTCAACTTCTCTCCCTTCCCACTTTCCCCCAACTCCTTGAAGACAACTGCTCACTTACTGCCTTCTGTGGCCAGTCCCTGAGGCCACCTGGCCTGGACAGATCCTTACCATGAGTCTCAGAACTTTGTGAGGCTATTGCTGTATTTCATGTAAATGGATGAGCAATCTCCCCATTCACCCACCCACTTTCCTCTTTTCAACTTGTTTGGGCACAGTTCTCTTCCACAGATGGAGGGGAATCTGGTTCTACATTATCTCCACATCTTCTTCCTACCAAGAAGTCCCCATACTGAAGGGGAAAGGCAAGGCTCCTGCTCCTGGTGGCTGGTGTTCAAACTGGCTCATGGAGCAAAGTTCCTTCTGCCACATCCTACCCATCACCTAGAGTCCTAACTCTGCAGCTCCTTACTGTACATAGTCTCAGCCAAGCTCTAATTCACAAAAAAGATGCAAGGATCACTTACTTTTCCAGGGTACTTTTGACATCCTAGAGGGACGGAAAAAAGAAAGCAACATTGGTCTTATTATATTCAAGGGTCCTAAAGGCAAAAGGTCCCCTTCATCCCCAAAGTTTTACATCTATGAAATAGGTGTAGGGTAAATTTAGGGTCACAACACAGGGGGAAAGCGCCCCAGGCATCTGAATTGAAAGTCGCTGCTTTCAACTTTTGGCCATCATGAAGCATGGTAACTGGTTGCACTTCTGATGGCTTCTTGTGTTGGTTTTGCTTGTCAAGGACAATGGGAGCTCTTCAAGGGGCAGGGATATGCCTGCTCTTTATTATGCCCTCCCCCCACAAACTCCCCTCCCCCCAACTTCCACCTGTTTCTTTGAGGACCAGTACAGACAGTTCCCGACTGGAGACCTACTTTGGAGTGTGGTGTTAGTTAATAATTATATCCCAATTCTGATTTGCAAATACTTGGGGTCCAGAAGACAAATCTCTGCCCCCCAAGGATTTCACAGTTTAAAATGGAAGACAGAACACACGTACATGAGAGGACATAAGAATAAACTCCAAGTAACAGATAACATGCCAATGAAGGCACAACTAGTCTTGATGAGTCATGTGCTGGGAATCGCATCTCCAAGAAAGAAGCATCTCTCCTATAGCCTTTTTAATATCATTCACCTGTTTAAGAAAACTAATTACTTTGAACATCTTAGAAGCATCATTGACATGACAAATGCAGTCTATTATTAATCATAATTTCATGCTTGGGGTCCGCGGCCCTCTTTGTTCTCAAGGACATTGTCTCGTGGCCAGAGTTATTGCTGGTCAAGCTAAATGTATAGCCAGACAGAGGAATTTTCTAAAGGGCAAAAAGCCCTGGTGTGAGGGGCACACTGGGAAACCAGTATCTGCTGGAAACAGGCATTATAATATGCTTTGACTGGCAGGGACGATGGAGTCCCCAGGCAGTAGCGGCACCCCCCCCCCCACTCCACCTGGCTAGCAGCCTCCATACTCATCCCCTGCGCTGCCTCTGTACTGGATTCTGCTACATCCCACAGGCCTTGGAGGGGCTGCGCGTCCCTTCCGGGTGGCCCCTCTAGGCCTCTCATTGCTCTACAGGGACTGTGAGTCCTATTTCCCTCATCCCAAGAGGCTCCCAAGGCTTCTGCTCAGTGAGGTGACACTCCTGCTTCCTTCACATGGTTTCTATACTTTTTATAGCACTAGGTAAATCAAGTTCTAGGACTTAAAAGTAAAAGTAACTGCATTCACACACTTTAATGCACACTTTTATCGCTAATTCAGACTAGACTTCCCTTCTTTCAAAAGAAGGTTCTAAAAAAAAAAACAATTTTGCTGACAAAACATAAGGACACAGAAATCGTAAGAAAACATTGGGAGAAATCAGAGAACCCTTTATGCAGAGGAAGCTTTTTTGAGTGTATCTGGAAAAGAGAACTGGATTTACAGGAGCAGAGCAGAAAGGTGAACATCTTGGGCTGACGGAACGGCCTGTGCAAACTAAACTGCTGGGCCTGCAAAGATCGAACCTTGAGCATCTCGAAGCCCGACTGTAAGCACTTGCCCTCCACCTCTGCAGCCAGGTGGGCCAGGTCGCGCCGTTGGTCTCCAAGGTGAGCCGCATTTTCCCGGAGGCGCTGCAGAATGTCCTGTTCCTCCTCCTCCAGCCGTGAAAGCAACATCTGCTGCTCTTCATCCAGCCGCCTATGAAGCTCTTCAAACTCCTTTAAGATCTGCTGTCTGCGACTCTCCACCAGTCTCTGAGAAGAGATGGAGTGTTGTTTAGCAGGGCCAGTGGGGCGCAGGGCGCCATGCCTCCCAGCAGGTGTATGAATTAACACAAGCTTCCAAGGGCAGGAGAAACAGTTTAACAAGGCGCTCCGTTTCCTCCACGGAAATGTCCTCTGTGAAGCATGGCCATGTGGACAGCCCCACATGACTTTGAGTGATGAGCAATGGAGAGATTAAAAAAAGGGGAGACATGATGACATTTACTGTTATAGATATCAGAGATACTGAGTTATGCCCACCCCTAAACATCTGGCTAATGCAACTTGTCAAGAAAGGGAAAGCACAAATTCTGGAAAATCAAAGATAAGACTGTCATCGTTTGTATATTGTAAAACATCTACCTGGTTGGTAAAAACCAGAGAACCAACTATAAGAGTGCCAGATTCGGTAAGATTTAGGAAGGGGTTGTGACAAAATAGAAACACAGGTTTCAGATCTGAGCTTAGTAAATATAGTTTCAAGTCTTTTCAGAGAATTGACAGTTCCACTCCAGCAACAGGATCCAGAAGTTTGCTAGTTACTTAAAATTTCAAACAGGAGCCTCCCTGGTGGTACAGAGGGGTAAAGCCCAGAACTATCTGCAGCCACTGCAACATGAGTTCCCAACCCGGCCAGGGAGGTGACCCACATGGCCCAGCAGGCCTCTCCCGTCTTGCCACTGCTCTCCTCAGCAGTGTATTGCAGTGATCTGCCACTCTGTCTCTGGTGAACCCTATCACTCCCCTGTACCTCTGGCCTGTACCCATTTTGTATGCACAAATAAATCTTCAAAAAATATATGAAACATGATTTCTCTCAGTCAGCACAGACTTAAAACCTCTAATATTCCTGACATTTGATATTATGGGACTCAAATCAGCCACAGCACCTTCTGAGGGTTATCTGGGTCCCTCCCCAAGGTAGGAATCACCATATGTCCTGTGACTGATAGGAGGATTTGATCCACAAGGAAGACAGAATGGGAAGGAAGCTAGGACTATGGAACAAAGTGGGCAGAGACTGAAAGGCAGGGCTGAGGGTGGGGAGGGTGGGGCTGCAGAACGGGGATGGGGGGAATGGTGAGGGCAGCTTTACTAGCTGGTGTTTGGGAAGCCCAGGCCAGCAGAGGCTGACTAGCTGCAGCTGTACAGCAGCTGCTGCTTCCCCTTCCACTGTTACCTTCTCAGGCATCCGTTAAAACAACTTCTGTTCTCGGGCCCTCCCTGGTGGCATAATGGGTTGGGACACTGCAAGCTGGCTGCAGCCACTTCAGTGCAAGTTCAATCCCTGGCCCTGGGGGTGATCCACATGGCACGGGAGACCTCTCCTGACCTGCCCGCCACTCCCCTCAACAGTGTACTTCGTCAGTTGGCCTGTTCTGCTCCCCACTCTGTCTCTGGTGAAGCCTCTCTCACCACCCCTGCACCTCGGGCCTATGCCCCAGTTCTGTATGAATAAATAAATCTTTAAAAAAAAAAAACAAAAAAACAAAAAAACTTCTGTTCTCACAGTCACTCTTCAGTGAAACACAACCTTTTCCCGTTGTGTGTGTGTGTCTAGGAGGTCACATATGAGTAGTTTAGGATTCATTGCTGTGGTAAATAGGAGGCAAAAGGGGTCTCTTTCATATAATCCTACAATTCCTTCTGTTTTGGAGGGTTTTTTCTAGTTGAGAGAAAGAACACTGATTTACAACACCGTATATGATGACGGGTTCATATATGGGTTCACTTCCCATCAAAGCATCCACTGACCAGGGCACTAGTTCTCAATGAGGGTGTGACCTTGTCCTGGGGCTATTTTGGCAGAGGGGATGTTCTTTTGTTTGCTGTGAATGGTGGGACTGGCAGTGCCCCTGCAAGGATGGCAGTCAGCACTCCTCACTGAGGACCTGCAAGGCGAACTGTCTTGCAACATTTCTGTTTTTAAAAACTTATTTATTTATGCATACAGAATTTGGGGTAGAGGCCAGAGGTGCAGGGGTTGAGAGGATTCTCCAGAGAGAGAGAGGGGAGCAGAACAAGCAGACTGACAGAGTACACTGCTGAGGGGAGCAGCAGGCAGGTAAGGAAGGTCTGCCATTCCATGTGGGTCACCTCCCTGGCTGGGGATCGAGCTTGTGCTGCAGTGGCTACAGTAGCTTCACAGTGCTGTGCTTTATTCTGTTGTGCCACCAGGGAGGGCCTCCTGCACCATTTTCTATGTTCTGCAGAGATTCAAAAAACAGAGGCCTGAACTTGAATGCCATTTTTTAAATAAACAAAACTAATTCTAGTATGGCTTTAATATATAGTTGACCTTTGAACAACACAGGCGCTGACCCCCTCTGCAGTAAAAAAAATCTGCATGTAACCTTTTGCTTCCTCAAAACTTAACCCTGCTATAGACTACAGATCTTACTGTTATAGTTAACATATACTTTCTATGTTACATGTATTATAGACTACATTCTTAAAGATTTATTTATTGATGCATACAGAACTGGGGGTACAGGCCAGAGGTGCAGGGGCGGTGAGAGGATTCTCCAGAGACAGAGTGGGGAGCAGAACAGGCCGACTGATGAAGTACACTGCTGAGGGGAGCAGCGGACGGGTCAGGAGAGGTCTGCCGCACCATGTGGTCACCTCCAGGGCAGGGATCGAACTCACGCTGAAGTGGCTTTAGCTTCTTATGCTGTGCTTTAACCCACTGTGCCACCAGGGAGGGCCTAGACTACATTCTTACACACTTACAACACACTAGAGAAAAAAGAAAATGCTATTAAGAAAACCATACAGAAGAACAAATGCATTTACACATTTTTGAAAAAAAACAAACAAACATTCTATTACTGCCCTCTGTGAGGCCCAGTTCAAATTTGTGTTGGTTAGGGTCAACTGTACCTGAATTTTTAAGGAATGGCTGAATGGAACTAATCAAGACTGTATTTCCTCTTAGAATTTCACCATAAGTTATTTACCAGTTTGAAGAATTATGTCAGTAAGAACTAAACTGCTTGTGGGGTCCCAGTGCACATTCTACATGATGGCCTCAGTCTGAACTTGTGCTGGCGGCGCTGTGGCTGGTGTCACGCCGGGCGCGAGGCCGAGCTCCTCTGTGGTGTCTTTCAGGGCACGACAAAACAGCCCCCGGCTTCACATTGCTTTTCTTTACTTACATTGTATTATATTATACTATATTTAGGAAAAAGAATAGTTTCCTTTTAAAATTAAGGAGATCAGTTATTTTACCTGTAATTTTCATTTCAGCGCGGTTAATTACAAATCACTTTAAAACAGGCACTGGGGTCTGATTCTGCAAGCAGGGACGAGGGAAAGGGAGAAAGAATTCAAGTGTCAGCGGTAGTTTCAGAGACCACTGAAATGATAATTTACATTTTAAAAACACCAGTTCTATTCAGGCATTGAGAAGGTTTTTAAAATTTTTATTCACTTCTCCATCTGCTACCTTTAAGAATGTGATCAACAAGAAAAGAAAGTTAACAGGGGAAAGTTTCATTTTGATGAATTTTAAGTTTCTTAGGAGCTCTTAGGAGCCCTCTAGAAGAACAAAGAAAAAAATTTTTTTTAAATTCACCTTTGTAATCAAAGTTTGTTAAAATAAAAAAAATTCAAATGCTTGCTTTGTTAAAATCTATAGAGATAAGGTAACACTTGTTTTCTGTTAAAATGTTATTTAATCTTTCGTCCTCCCTAAATTTCAAGTCGGAAAACTCATTTCTTCCAGGAGGATTTTAATGAGGTCAAGTTTTTATACTGGCTTCTTATGAACTTGCAACTGTGCTATTTGTGCCATGTCATTATCTATGTTCTCCACTTGACTGTACATTCACGGAGGGCAGGGGCTATTATTCCTCATCATCTGCCAGTGTCAAATACAGGGTTTGGCCCATGTTTGAAGTTTAATAATATTCATGGATTCGTAAAGAACTAGTATCCCTGATATTGCCATATACTGTATGCTCTTAGATTATGGGCTTGATACTTATCCAACTCCCACTTCTCCCAGTGTAAAGTGGGGGTAGAAACCTTGCAAAGTCTAAGTGCACCCTTGCCAAAGATGACTTCACAACTCCCTTCCCTTTCTCTCTTGAAGTTTCTCTATGTTCCACCTTTGCCGACTCTGGCCTGAATTCCTAAAACTCCAACCTGGGAAGGCCGACACCTAACATAACCCTGTTAAGTTGGAATTGTCATGGACACCCAAAGAATTAATGCACAGAATCAATAAATATTAGTTACATCCCTACTAGTACTATTCACTGATCAATATATAAAATATGGTGGGATTCCCGGTGGCACAAGGCATTAAGTCTCAGCACTAGGAAGCTATCCGCAGCCACTGCAACACGAGTTTGACTCCAGCAAAGGAGCTGTCCCACATGGCTCTCTTGTCTCGCCCACTATTCCCTCAGCAGTGTATTTCAGTCAATCTACCTGTTCTGCTCCCCACTCTGTCTCTGATGAACCCTCTCACTGCCCTACCAATACCTCCGGCTTATACCCCAGCTCTTGTATGCATAAATAAATAAAATAAACCTTTAAAGGGCCCTCTCTGATGGCTTAACAGGTTAAAGTACAGCACTATGAAGCTATCTGCAGCCACTACAGCACCAGTTCAATCCCCAGTCAGGGAGCGGACCCACATGGCGCAGCAGACCTCTCCTGTCTCGTCTGCTGCTCCCCTCAGCAGTATACTTCAATAGATCTGCCTGTTTTGCTCCCCACTCTGTCTCTGTTGAATCCTCTCACTCCCCCGTACCTCTGGCCTGTACCCCAGTTCTTATATGCATAAATAAATCTTTAAGAAAATAAGCCTTTAAAAATGTGGCACATGCCAAAATATCATGTGATGACAGAGATGTAAAATTCTATGAAAAGTAATAAGGTTAATTTCTGAAGGGTCAGGAAAGGCTGCATAGGAAGCAGCTTTCATTCTTTTTTCTTTAATTTATTTATGCATATAAGAACTGGGATACAGGCCAGAAATACAGGGGATGGGAGGATTCACCAGAGACAGAGCGGGGAGCAGAACAGGCAGATCTACTGAAATATACTGCTGAGGGGAGCAGCAGAGTGAGATAGAAATCAGCTCCCTGGCCAGGGACTGAACTCAAGCTGTGGTAGCTGCTGAGAGCTTCATAGTGCTGTGCTTTAACTCCTTGCACCATCAGGGAGGCCCCAGGAAGTGGCTTTCATTCTGTCTGCAGGATGGACAGGATCCCAGAGGTAGAGAGTGGGGAGTGAAACATTATAGGGGAACTAACATCACCTAACATACCTGACTGAACTTATCTGAGTAAAGAGAATGTGGCTTTAACGACACTGGGCAATTCTTCTGGAAGGTGTTGGTCAATTCTCTTTCCTTCTTCCCCAGTGAAACTTCCACATTCTCCTCTCCTCAATCCCTCTAAGAAACTCCAATCCCTGTAATCAGCAGAGAGCCTCTGTCTCTGCTCTACAAGAGAGAAGACCAACAGGCTTGGTTCCCATGACTTGCCAGGGGTAAGATGTTGTCTGCCCTTCATCTTGTTTCCCCTTCTCCTCAGTACTTACTCCACATCAAGTAATTTAAGTATGTTTAATGACAAGTCTAATAAAATGCCATAATTTTGGAGAGCAGTATGTTTCTCACGAATCAGAACACGCTGCGTGGTAACTGCCGCTGCGTGGTAACTGCCTGCAGGGCAGTCCACATGGGATTGCCTGCTTTACCTTGAGCTCGCCAGGCTTCTTCTCCTCAGAGGACTTGCAGCGGTTGATCTCTTGCAGCTTCTTCTCCAGCGGCTCCAGGCACTTCTGTAGTTTTTCCTGAGGGGTGTGAAGTGGGAAAGGTGGCATCTGAGGCTGGCTGGCACATCACATTTGTTACCAGCCACTGTTTGCGCCCTTATCCACCTCACCATCTCTTAATCCAACTGTTCTCCTTGCCTGTCATTTAGGATGTCCAACTTCCTCTAGCCCCTCCTCCAGCCACCAGCCTGTCCCACCCCCTTCCTCTCTCATCAAACTTTCTGTCACTGAGTCTCAGAGTTGTCCAGCTGTCACCAACTCTGCGTCCTTCCCTTACTTTATCCATTTTCTTAATCTTTTATAGTCAGAGTGACTTACTGTATCCACATCCTTTTTAAACTTGCCACCCAACCAGCTATAATCACCCATAGGTAGAATAAAACTTGATTACTTATAAACTACTTTAAATCTCATTTCCAAGATTTTGTGAATATAATTAAGCAAAGTACCTGATAAAGTATTATGACATTAAAATCTCTAGTTTCTTTTACTCAAACATCTATCCTGTGTCCCACCAGTAAGTTAAAGCTGCTGTCACGCTGTCTATTATCTGGGAAAGATGCAGACTGGCTCAGCTTGGTCTGGAGGGGGCTGGTTAGATAAAATGATGCTACCTATGGGGGTAGCAATGGGGGTGGAATAAAGAAACCAGACTTATTTTCAATGCTTCCTAAATTTGATCTTCTCCATGTGGTTTCATTTACTTAGAAAAAAATTTATGCATTCCAAGAGTATACATACTCAAGTGTGTTACAAAATTTGGGAGGAACTTTGGGGTATGTCTCACCACTTTGTGGTGACCACTTAGTGCTCAAGGATGACTGATGAGATGTTAAACTACGTGCCCAGTGTTTTGTAGGACCATATGGAGTCTTGCTCTCATGAGCTTCTGATCTAGGAAGCCCCTACCCTCCTGCTCTGTGCTCTTCCCTCTTGCCCCACCCTGACATCACATGCGGGTTCCCCACCTTGTACTCCTGTGTGGCATCGTCCAGTGGCACAACGGTGTGGGCCCGGTGGGTGTGGGATATTGCACAGATCAAACACACGGCCTCCTGGTCTTCATAGCAGAAAAGACTGAGGGCTTCATGGTGCTGGGGGCAGAGGCTCTCATCCCGGATTTTCCGCTTGACAGCCTGGAGCTGCTTGGCAATTTCCACCATACTGCCCAGTTGCCGATTAGGCCGAAGACTACGGTAGCGGGAAGTCTTTCGACAGACAGGACAAGGGAAGTCCCTCTCTAGGTCCTCCCACCAACGGGTGATACAAGCTTTGCAGAAGTTGTGCCCACATTCAATGATGACAGGCTCCTTCAGGTACTCCAGGCACACAGAGCAGCTTGCCTCAACCTGCAAGTTCTCCAGAGCTGCGGCTGTGGAGGCTGCCGAGGCCCCAGCCTCTAACAGGCTCGTCTCTGCCATTATTTAACTTAGGGATGGGAAAAGGGCAGAGAAAAGAAAAATGTTAGTTGGAGGTTTAATTTTTTTACACCTCTGGTCTAACAGTTATACCCATGTTAAATCCTAACTCCGGGATGAGTTTTTACATCTTGGTATTTTACATCTTCTTTTCCACTGGATTCAACTTTAGTTTCTTCATCTCCAAAACTTGTGACTGCCAGCCATCAATCTAATTTTTTTTTACTCTTCGGTAAAGTGACATAAAACTCCCAATCTCTTCTTTTACTTTTGCTTTCTCTTGTTAGAAATAGAGACTTCCTTCAGTTCTAGCTCATTATGCTTTTCCTGAGCTAGGCTCATCCCACTTGAACCAAGAGTTTTAGACCAATGTATTCCTAATTTGACATAATTTTCTCATAAAGGAGAAAGGGTTTGGAAAAGTGGGAGGTGCCATAAAAGTCAAAGTATTAAGACTTGTTAATATTTCAAAGGTTAGCATCAGAGTGTTTTATTACAATCGTCATTGGAGCCTAGGCTCAACTGCCACTGTTATCTTGTTTTTTCAACAAGTAATAAATGCAATGAGTTAGGCAAGGGGAATAACCTCTTTCCTGGAAGTCTTGAAATTATTCTTCCTTTTATCAGACTAGCCTATTGGAAGTGTGCCCTCTTCTTGGTATGAAACGATTGACACACATCCCATTTCGACTTGTGTGCATTTCTATATTTGAAACGGCTGAAGTGCTAAATTCATGAAAACAATAATAAAGAATATATTACTCAGTCCACACCAACAACTTCTTGAAAAGAGGGCTGACAAGTTGCAGTGATTGGAATCTTCCAAAATAGCTATTAATAACTAATTCCTTGAACATCCTGTGCCTCTAAAAAGTTGTAGAGTGGTTGGAGATTAAGTGAAGAAAATATGGGAAATGCAGCAGAAGTTTGTGAAGTAGAAGGCTGGTATCCCACTCCATCTTTAAACATCACCTTTTTATCCATAAAATAACTGACTTTTCTTTTCTGATAACCTCACCTGTCCACCTTTTCCATCAAGGAATCCAACCTAATGAATTAACAGTGATTGCTCCCATATCGTTGATGGCACATGTTAAGTGTTTACTTTGCATAGGAGCTGATAAGTTATTTGCACCTGAATTTCTTCTCACAACTATGTAACAAGTTCAGCCAAGTGATTTTTCTCTACCTACTGGAATCCACCTTTCACTAGTAACCCTACCACTATCCCAATCTTCTAGGGGTGGCCTCCTGGGGGAGTTGAATTGTATGCAGAGTTAGACACTAGGATGGAACTAAATTGGCAAAGAAGTGGTGTGAAAGAGAAAGTGCGTAAAAGGCTGGGAAACATGAAAACTTGGAGCTACAACCACAGTGAGGCCTCAGGTGCCTCAGGGTAGGTCATTTCTTTTCCTCTATTCCTGGAGTCTCAGTAGTAAGCTAAACTTTAGGGGCATTATCATTTTGTATCTACCACTGTCCAAGTCCCACTCAGACCCACTCCTGAACGTGGTCCACGATTCGATCCCACCCATCTCCATCTTCCCCTGCCACATCTGGCAGGGGGCTAGGAGAAGGGGAGAGGAAACGTGGTTGGCAGGGAGAGAGGGGTGCGAGTCCAGGTGAGGAGGTGTGACGTGAAAGTGAGATGCCCGCCGCTATGACGCAGCCGGGGCCTGCGGTGACGGCGTCAGTTTCGCCCCGGGAGGCGAGCGGCTGCGGGACCGGGAACGGCGGGGTAGCCAAGCAACGCCGGACGCGCTGACGTCGCCGGGGCGGCAAAACGTCCGCCCGGGCCCAAGGCGGGCGGAGGCAGCGGTGGTTACGTGCGGGGGGCCAGTGACGCAGTCGCTGGCCGGTGGGGCGCGGCGTGCGGAGCCGGCCAGCGCGGCCGGCCCCAGGGCCGGGACGCGGCGTCGGGACAGCACCTACCTTCCCGGCTTCGCGTCGGGAGTGCGGGCCGCTGAGCCGCCAGCGCGCTGCCTCCCTCCTTCCTCCTCCCCCCGCCCCCGCCCCGCAGAGCGACACAATACTCGCCGGAAGCGGAAGCCGCGCCGAAGGGCTCCAGTGGGTGGAAGCCGGGGTTTCGGCGGGCGGCCGCGGCGGGCTCCAAGGTGCCCGCGGAGGAAGGAGATGGAGAGGGGGCCGAGGTGAGAACCAGCAGACGGAGGAGTTAAGGGCGGGAAGGGACCCGGAGGGGCAGGTGGCTGAAATGCGGTGGTCTAGGTGACCTGAGGAATCCGCTGGAGAGCGGGGCCGCGCATGCGCGCGTGTGAACGCTGAAGCCCGTTGCCCTCAGTGCGCCTATGGGCACGGGGCCGTCCGGCTGCCCTGACCCGGCTGCAGGCCGGGGGGCTGCTGGGGTTCGCCTGGGCCTGGTGGGGCCGGGAACTGCCGTGGCAGAGCGCGGGGGGATCGCGGACTTGCAGCCACCTTCTCTCTCTAGGCCAGCCCAGTGGGAAGCTGGCTAGCTGAGGTGGCGGCCGAGTGCGTGGAGGACCTGCAGGCACGTCACTTCCGACTAGTTGGGCTTTTAGCCTTTTAATATTTACGGATTAGGTGCGTTCTCCCGACCGCAGGCTTCAAAAGTTCCTCGCCCCTGCCCGGCTAAGCGGGCTTTCATATTTATCTGCTTCCCGCTCTAGAGGGGGCTCAGAGGGAGAATTCCGGGCGGATCTCTGCGAGCACCCCAGCGAGCCCGCGGTGAACACTGGCTCCGGATTCTTTCACTTGGGGGACTGTGACTTTCTCCGAAAGCCAATGGTGCTATTGTGGGCCCCTCAGACTTTTGCATTATAGCCTCCCCGCTTTTCTCTTTTGCTGCTGGAAGTTTTGCAGCCCGGTGACTTTGGAGGAAGAGGGTGAGATGGATAATGAGGGTGGGGAAGAGTCTGCTGATAATTGTAACATGGTGGTCCTCAGAGAAGGGAGATTCCAAGTTCCCTGTCCCACCTAAAGGAGAGTAGAGAAGAATTTGGAGAGGAGACTGAGGAGGAAGGAAGCAGGATGGAGGCCAGAAGGAGACCTGAGGAGGCACATGGAGCAGAGACAGGTGAAGAAGCTGCTCTTGTTTCTTGGTCCTGGACTGGGTGACAGTTGTGGGTGAGAGACCCATGGGGAGGTGACTATGATTTGATTCTGATTCTGCTCTTTTACTCCCAGACTTGTCTGGCCATTTTTGACCCTTCTCTATGGGTCCCAGCCAGAAGGTGCTTTAGGCTTGTGGCAGCTTTCAGGCCTTGCTTTGGGCCAACCCCTGTGGGTACACTTTTACCCACGATGGGGATGGGTAACTTTGGGTGTTTGATTTAAAAATTATATTCTTTGTCATTTCTGTATTGCACACTAATTGTTAAAGTTCCTTTCCATTAAAGATCTTAAATGTTTTGTCCTGATGCTGTAGATGGCAGAAACTGTTCAGAGTGGTCAGGTTTGGGGGTTCAGAGATGTTTCTCTTCCTGCTCTGTAACACTATGATGAGGCTGGAGAGGTGGTGCCTACTCGGGGGAGCTGGAGCTGGGGAGGAGTATGTGGATGAGGTGTATGGGGTTAGGGAGGACTTAGGGCTAGGGGCGCGTTATTCTGTTGGGACAAAAGATGGCTCACCCTAGCTTACCGCCCCTAACACTTAGTGTACAGAGTGCTAACTGAAAAATAGGAGCAAATTTTGGTGTATTCTAAGCAAGAAAGTAACTCAACTTGCTTTTCAGTAAGTTGGATTACTGTTTACAAACACCCTGTAGTATTTAGTTTCTCATTCTGGGAGTAAGAAACTGAATACCTAGGAAAAAGGTCACATATTGGAGGGAAAAGACTTAGGAGCTTGCATGCTAAATACCATTGCTCCACCTTTTCTTACTGTTACATTGACCTTTGTTCACTTTTTTCCCCCAATAGCCAATGACTTCAATATGATTACATTTGAGGAAATTACATTTATGGACTGTTTGGTTTCATTGTTGTTTAGCCACTAGGGATTTTGGCAGTAATACTCATTCTAGTTCATAAAACGCCTCAGTTCTCAGGAATGGTACTTCGAAGCCTTTGTCTGGTCTGTCAGCCCTCTTATCCTTGCTTTCGATGGAGAGTGTTGTAATGTTGATTTATAAGAAGAGATTTCTGGGAAAATGCAAAAACAAATTACAGTAATGAGATCTTTTAAAAATGAGATTAGCTTTTAAGTATATGTTATAATTATTGGTTTTTTAACCAGGAAAGGAGAACAGAATATACCCTGAACCTACCCAATAGATGTTCTAGCAGTCAGGAAAGAGTATCACTGGATATTATGTGCAAGTGAAAATAACTAAATCATCATAAAAATCCCATAGAGTGCACAGTGGCGATGGTGCCAGTGCCACAAAATGTGCTAGGAATGGATATAATACCTAAAATCTGGGAATATAGCTATCATTAAAAAGACTAAGAGAACCAGTGTATATATATATCCTCTTAAGTAAAGCTAGAACCAATAAAAACCCCAATAGCTGAACTGACATTAATGAAACAGTACCCACTAAAAGGACATAAAGAAGTAACTGAAAAGGTACTGGAGTTAATGAAGGAAGGAATAATACAGAAAACACAGTCATTCAGTTATAATAACCCAGTGTGGCTAGTGAAAAAGCCAAATAGAGAATATAGATTCACTGTAGATTTTAGAAATTTAAACAAAAATTCACCCATTATACTATGAAATTACCAGAAGTTGAGGAAATAGTGAATATTGTAACAAAGAGTAACCCAAAATATGCTACAATAGATTTGCCAGATATGTTTTTCATGATCCCAGTCAGTATGTAGAGAGTAAACCACATTCATCTGGGGTAGTCAACAATATGGAGTTAAGAGATTGCCACAAGGATATAAAAATAGCCCTATATATAATACGTGCTATCATAAGTAAATAGTTAGGAGAAATAGATAAAAAGGCAAATGTAGTAAGTTATATAGACAATATAGTGTATCTGGAGATGACAAACAGAGGTACAGGAAACAAAAGATAGGTGGTAGAGCATCTAATGATCCAAGGGTGGACAATTAACCCAGGAAAGATACAACTGCTGTTCAAGTGAAGTTTTTAGGGCTAGGATGGAGTAGCAAAGGAAAGCAGATACCAAAGGAAAGCTGATACCGAGTGGAGTAATAGATAAAAGAATGCAGCTCAGTGTACCTAAGAATAAAAAATGAAGCACAAAGGTTAATAGGAATATTTAGATACTGGTGAAATCATATACAATGTTTACAAGCAATATTAAAATCCATATATAGGATAACCAGAAAGGCTGTTGATTTCAAGTGGAAAAAGGAACAAGAAGAAGCACTAGAAACCCTATCGGGAAGGCCCCTCCCTGGCGGCACAACAGGTTAAAGTGTAAGCACTGTGAAGCTAACTGCTTTGGCAAGAAGCAAATTTGATTCCTTGCCCGGGAGATGGCCCACATGGCTCAGCAGACCCCGCCTGTTTGTTCCACTGCCCCCCTCAGCAGTGTACTTCATTGATCTGCCTGTTCTGCTCTCCAACTCTGTCTCTGGTGAATCCTCCCATCGCCCCTGCACCTCTGACCTGTACCCCAGTCCTGTATGCATAAATAAATCTTAAAATAAAAAAAAAGGAAAGGAACCCTACAGGGAAGAAAAAATTACAATTAGACATAATCTTAGGAGATAATGGAAATTGGGCATTATTTAAAACAATAGCTAAAAACCCTATACCTAGTGGAGTCTCGCAAACACTACCTATATTCAACCCATGAGTACTCCATGTTTAAACAAACAGTTTGGAACCTGTATAAGGTGCTGTCAGGATCAACCCGTAAAAATCCAAAGTAACAACCTATTCTACCATGGGTGGAATGACTGGAGAGGCACTCTGGAATACAAGTGGAACCAAAGGTGTTAACTTGGAAATGGTAAATTCAAGAGATCTAAAGAGACCGTGATACAAAGGGTGGTGCAGATATGCAAAGGTCACGGAACAAATAGTAGAGATGACCTTATCCCTCCAGGAATGGTAGTGGCTTAAAGGCAGAAAAACCACTGTGACATGGGTACCCGTTTGGTCAGAGCAACTTGGGAACACCTGGAATACAGGGGGTCCCCTCCGAGGTAGCAGACAGCAAGGTGCAACAATCCTGACTAGAGAAAGAACTGACTCGGCACATGCCCAAGGCTATGGCAGCCTGGCTGGCTATAGAACAAACAGTTAAAGAAAAGCTACAAATAGTATATACATTTATAAGATTCACCTCAGGGTGTGCAATGGAATAGCAATGCGGGCTAGTAAATGGAGACAAAAATGATTGGAGTGATCAGAGATTAGTGTGGTCAAAAGAGATGGCAGCAGATAGAACAACACGTGGGCGCACACACAGGAAAGAAAGGGGAAGAGTAAATGATAGTAAAATAAAACAGTAACTCAATTAAAATGATAAAGGAGCAAAACTGGTAGAGAGATTGACCAAAGCTGACCAATAAAGAGGAGAAAGAACAGTACCAAATATAAAATATGATACAGCTCAAAAGAGAACCAAAATTTAAAGCAGTTAATAATGAGCCATTAAAAATACCAGAATAGGGCCCTCCCTGGTGGCGCAGTGGGTTAAATAAAGCACTGTACTAAGAATCAAAAGCTACTTCCGCATGAGTTCGATCCCCGCCTGCCCCGGAAGAGATCCACATGGCGTGGCAGACCTCTCCTGACCCGCCCGCTGCTGCCCTCAACAGTGTACTTCATCGATCTGCCTGTTCTGCTCCCCACTCTGTCTCTGGTGAAGCCTCTCACCCTCCGCATCTGGCCTGTACCCCAGTTCTGTATGAATAAATAAATAAATCTAAAAAATACCAGAATAGGGACTCTTAGAGCTACAGAAATGGCAAGGACACATAGATGTGCACGGATTATTTAATTGGATGAAGGATAGAAACTTACCAGTTTAGTGATAACAATGCAAGAGTAATTAGCCGATAACCGGGATAGTGAGTAGATTTAGACATAAGGAACCTAGTTCAGAATACAAATCCAATAGCTTTAATTATCTCTCTCTCTCTCTCTCTCTATATATATATATATATGATACAAATAGACTTCATAATACCACTGAAACAGTGTCAAGGGAAATTTGCCTGTATCATAGTGGATATAGGACCAGGGCTAGGATTAGCAAGAACAAGTAAAAAACCAGCCTGGGAAACAACGGTAAATATACTG